CCCCCCCCGACCTAAAGTATCGCTAGAGGCACCACATGACATCGCATGGCATGGCATGGCATGGCATCGCATGGCACCACAACCACCACACCCCTCCGACCTGAATTATCGATGAAGTGGCAGAAGTTGATGTTGGCGGTGCTGGTCGACGACACTGTCATTCCCCCGCCGTCCCCTGTGGCCGTGTTGCCCTCGAAGGTGCTGTTTACCGCCCACAGGGCGCACTCGAAGCAGTGGATGCCGCCACCTTGCTCCCCTGCGTGGTTGCCATCGAAACGAGAGCTACGGTGCCGCGCCGCCACCGTCACCGCAAACATGAAAAGAGAGAGACAGAGACGGTAAAATGAGCCGCGAGAAAGTGGTGGCAATAGGGTGCGCAAGAGAACGAGGAGAGGAGGAGAGAGAGAGAGAGAGAGAGAGAGAATGATGGCCGCGAGAGAGGGAAAAGTGCTCCGAGTGTTAGTGATATTTGTGCCACATCGAGTCTCTCTGGTGCGGACCAAGTAACCAGAGCCCCCTCGTGACTGACCCATGGGATAAACCATTTCTCTGCATTTGTTGGGGGAACCTCTCTCTCTCTTCCTTTCTTTCGATCTATCTCTCGCTCTGTCTCGCTCTCTCTCCCTCTCTACTTTCTCTCCCCCCCCCAAACACACCTGCTCTCTACCCTCTCTTACTCTTTCTCTCTTCCACTCCCAGTCTTCCTGACCCTCCACCGCATATACCTCCGTGCACAATATACCCCAACGGAAACCAACACCCTCCCTCCCGCCAGCCTTCCCTTCTCTACCCCTCCTCACCTCTCCGTGCGAAGGACCCCCAGCAAAAACGCCCGCAGACCTCCGCCAACCTTCTCGGCAGCGTTACCCGTGAACGAGCTTGATTCCACGATGACCCTCGTCTCCTCCCCCGTTCCGTACACGCCTCCGCCGCCGCCACCCGCCTGGTTGTCGGCAAACGCGCACCCGGCCGCCGTCAGGTCCGAGCCATTCTCAGCGCTGACGGCACCACCGGACGTGCCCAGCGCCCGGTTGTTGGTGAAGGTCGAATCTTGGAGGTCGAGCTTGTTGGAGGCAAGGGGCGGGGGGGCGGGGGNGGGGGGGGGGGGGGGGGGGGGGGGGGGGGGGGGGGGGGGGGGGGGGGGGGGGGGGGGGGGGGGGGGGGGGAAGCTGAGTTTTGGAGGTCCAGCTATTTGGAGGGGTGCGGGGCGACATGGAGGGGTACTCCTTGGTTGCCTGCCTGTCTGAAGGGATTGACCACGCATCTCTCGCGCGGGACGGAGCACAGCAGATTCTCCAGTTGATTCTCCAGTTGATTCTCGAGTTGATTCTCGAGTTGATTCTCGAGTTGATTCTCGAGTTGATTCTCCAGTTGATTCTCCAGTTGATTCTCGAGATGATTCTCGAGATGAACGAGCGGCATCTCGGGTGTTGTACACGATTCGCTTTTCCCGCAATCCCCTTGCAGTAGAATTTCCGTGCTGCTTACGATATTCCACCCTTTTTTCGTGCTTGGCAATTCGTGGTCGCCATCTACTACCATCTCCTAGCGCTTTGCTCGTACGTTTTCCTAATGCCATCTAGTTGACCAGCTTATGCTCAACCCATGATGTCGTCACACCCAATAGTCATCAAATCGATCAAACTTATTGCAAACTGTAGTCATGTCGCCACATCCCATGCACTCACCGAGCACCCCGCCACGGCGGCGCACGCCCCCCCCCGCGCCTCCCCCCCCCCCCCCCCCCCCCCCCCCCCCCCCCCCCCCCCCCCCCCCCCCNCCGCGCCCGTGGGCGCTGTTGCCCGACAGCGTCGAGTCCAGCACGGACACGGCCCCCCCGTTCGTGACGTAGATCGCGCCGCCCGCGGGGCCCCCCGGGTCCACCGTCGGGCTGTAGCTGTCGCCGCTGCTGTCGCTACCGCTGGAGGTCGACCTGGCGGCGGCGGCGGCGCCCCCGGCCACGTTGCCGGTGAAGCCGCACCCTTCCGACGCCCAGAAGCTGCTGCCGCTCCCCCAGGTGTTGACAGCGCCGCCCCCGATCTCGGCGACGTTGGACGTGAAGCTGGTCCCGCCGGTGGCGGACACCGCCGACCCCGCCGACAGGGACCCCCCCCCCCCGAACCCAGCGGAGTTCCCGTCCAACGCGACCCCGTCCAGGACCGCCTGCGCGCCGTCCTGGGCGAACAGGCCGCCCCCGTACCCGTACCAGAGGTTCCAGGAGATAAGCTCCGCGGAGTTCCCCCGCATGTAACCGCCGCTCACGAAGACCACCGCCGCCGAATCGTCGTCCTCCCTGGCCGCGGCGATCGCGCCGCCGCGACCGGCCACGTTGCCCGAGAACCCGCAGTCGGCCGCGCGCAACACGCCGCCGTCGACGGCCATCCCGCCCCCTTGCGCGTCGGCCTCGTTCCCCTCCAGGTGGCAGCCCTCCGCCTGGACGGTCATCTCCCCGTTACCGGAGACCCAAACGCCTCCGCCGCGGTGAGAACCTGGGACGTCGAAGAAGCCCTCCCGGTACGCGACCGCGTTGTTGGAGAAGTTGGTGCGGAGGAGGATCAGGTTGCCCGCGTTGAGGAAGGCCCACAGCCCCCCGCCATTGCCGCCGGACCAGTTGTCCGAAAGAACCGTGTCCGTGAAGTTGACGTCGAAGGGACCTTCGTTCTGAGGGGCGCCAGCGACAGAGAACAAAAATAAAAGACCACCGGCGGAGAGTTCCGAAAAAAGCGAGAGGGTGCGGTCAAAAAACGAGATGCATCGCGTGGGACAACACACAAGATAGCATACCCCCAGCAAGTACACTAGACCGTGAGCCCATCACCGGGTTGTGACCCATGTAGTCGATGTGACCGTCTCCCTTGCGGAATGCAGACGAGCTATGCATGAGACACAGTACACAACGACAGGCACTAGCGGCGGCACGGCGGTCAAAGATAGATTGTTAAAGAGAGCGTACACATGAATATATTACAGGAGGAGAAAAACAAAAAAAGTGTGTGTAAATATATAGGCTTGTCTTGACCCCCCCTCGTACACCGTACATGTAGCCGCCACTCCAGGTACTGTCAGGGGTCAACCAGGGAGGGGCACAGGCCCACGCACTGCTTCAAACATCAGTTTGTCGTGAAACATTCGCAAACCACGTCACAAACCACGCAGCACATAGGCGGAGCACTGTTTCAGGTCAACCCCCGACGCCGTGAGGCGTCACAGTGCGTGACCGCCGAATGCTCACGGCTCGCGTGCATACTAATCGGGTTGAAAGCACTGAATCGCAACTAAGCACCTGTTCTTATGGCCAAGTGACTCACAATATTATAATTGTTGAGCATTAACTTCATAGCTCACCCCCAGGTTTTCTTGGACGTACGTGGTGCCATCTTTTTCCCTTCTTTTATAGGAACATATCAATAGTACCTACATGTTTTTGCATGGGTCGAAAACTCCGCAATACACATACAGCCGTCGCTAAAACTCTTCTATCAAGAAAGGCATCGGGACGAATAACGATGCGATGCGAACCGTTAATCCTCACTCAACCACACGTACATACGCAAAACCAACCGGCCCAGTTTCAAGACGGACCGCCTTCTTCGCGAAGCTTGAAAGCGACGGTGGGCTTCGTGTTCCTATGCCTAAACGGTGGGCTTCGTGTTCCTATGCCTGACCCCGTACCCCCTGCAAACCCCAAGCTTAGACCCAGCGGTAACACTCATCACTCACGATGATCATGATTCCCCCGCCTTGGGCGTTCCCGAGATTCCCCACAAACGACGAGCCCTCGACGGAAATACTGTTGCTGCCATAAAAATACGCGGCACCAGCGCCCTCCGCTCCGTTGCCGGTAAAACTGGACGACTTGATGGAGACCGCCGCCTGACCGACGATGTAGAGGGCTCCTCCTGCGTGCGACACAGACGATGACCAGCTCGCCATGTCGGAGGCGAAGTTCCCTGTGAAGACGCTGTCGAGCACGTCAACCTGATTTAGTTTCGCCGCCGCGGCATTGTTCGTGAGAGGGCGAGAGGGAGAGACGGAGGGAGGAGTCAGAGGTACCCGAACCGTCGTGTCCCATCAAGCAACGATACGGCCCTCGTCAAGAAAAGCAGCAGCGGGCAACACCTCAAGAGCAGGACGAGTATACCGGTACATCTTGCTGCTCCCAAGGCCACCACTAGCCCATTGTTGAGGGAGCCACACAACAGCAACAATAGCAACGACGACGACGATTGCGACAAACAACAACCAACACAGAACGCTCACACCTCGTGCACAAGAGAACCTGTCAGCAAGGTGAGCATACCACACGGAGCACGCACGAGCAGTTCTACAGAGGGCAACGAAAACGCGCGTTGTGAGTCGCCGTCAAGCACAAAACAACGCAGAGAATGCTGGTTAGCGCAGCGATACAACTTCAAAAAATCACACGCACGCGCAACCACCACCACGCCTCAAAGTTACACGCTTGAGACGGAATCCAGCATCTGGACGCTGGTCACCGGGTGATACAAACCAAAGACCCCCACACACACCTGTGCGACACCCCCGTTCGCGTAGACTCCGCCGCCGTATCCCCCCGCCCAGTTCCCGTCGAGCAAGGTGGAAGTCACGGTGATGCTAGCGCCGGAATCCGAATAGACCGCTCCTCCGTTGTCGGTGGCGTTATTGCGCCGGAGCTCGCACTCGTGGAAAGCCACCTGAGGCGTGCCTCCCGACAGGCCGACGGCCCCGCCGACGCCGACGTCAAAGTCGTCCCAGCCGGAGTTCGGTCCTTCCGCTACGTTGGACAGGAAGAGGGTCTTCTGCGCGGTAACCGCCGAGGCGGTGATGGCCATCACCGCTCCTCCTTGATGCTCGGCCGTGTTGCCTGTGTGGTTTGTTGTTGTTGTTGTTGTTGTCGTTGTTGTTGTTGTTGTTGTTGTTGTTGTTGTTGTTGTTGTCGTTGTTGTTGTTGTTGTTGTTATTGTTGTTGTTGTTGTTGTTGTTGTTGTTGTTGTTGTTGTTATTGTTGTTGTTGTTGTTGTTGTTGTTGTTGTTGTTGTTGTTGTTGTTGTTGTTGTTGTTGGTAGTGGTGCTTTCGCTGTTGTTCGGCAATTGCTGTTGTTGCTGTGTTGACGATTTTGTGGCTGCTGCTGTTGTTCTGCAGTCTTCTCAACTGAAAACCAGGTCATGAAATTTTGCTCTGCGCTACTCCAGCCGTCAAACAACCGAATCCCCGTGGCTACTTAAACAGGCTCACCGACAACTATAAGAACATCAACAGACGCACACGCCCCTCCCCCCCCCTCCTCGAAAACATAAAAAAGGTTCGATCACCGACAAGGGTCTTTTTCCATGCCGCGTGTACCTTCGAAGCGACAGTCGTTGACCACAATGATGGAGCCGGCACCGGTCGACAAGATAGCGCCTCCATCGAGGGGAGCCCTGTTACCCGTGAAGTTACACGATGATACCTGAGCGATGTTCATATACAATTTGAGCGGGGGCACGGGCGAGGGAGAGATTGTCAGCACGGGCCGATGAGTTTGAGCCACGGGTGAAGTGTAGTTCGCGGTGGATCTTGCACGCCTGCACGAATCGAGACACGGAGGGTGGATAGTGGGCTGATTGGATCTCAACACAGCGGTGGTCCTAGAAAAATCAAGTGCTCTATAATGCCGGCGGTAGGTGACAGGACAAGCATTGGCGCCACGACCAGCGTTGGTGCCAGGACCAGCAATATAGCGGGCAACCGGCATTATTCAGAGTATGAAACATCTTAAATATTCCAGCTAAGCCTGGCGATTCCACTGATATTGTACGGGGCATTGTTCAACCCGCGCTTAATAGCGGGACCACAGCTGCTGCAAACGGAACTAACACTCGAGAGAATACTCACGGTAGGAGGTAGGACAACAGCCGACCTACAATACGGCAGCAGCAGCAGCAGCAGCAGCAGCAGCAGCAGCAGCAGCAGCAGCAGTAGCAGCAGCAGCAGCAGCAGCAGCAGCAGCAACACTGCAGCAGCAACCACAGCAGAAGCAACAACAAACACAACACAACCATCATGACCAACACCAGCAACACCAGCAACATCAACAACAACAACAATGACCAGTGGAGTGCGCACCAGAAGAGATACATCCTCGCCGTCGGCGTAGATGGCACCGCCACCGCTGTAGTAGGGCGCCGACGCATTGCGCAGCTCCAAGTTTTCCAAAAACAAAGACGCTCCCCCAGATACCTGTCAAGTCGGGTTGGGTCCAAGGGGAGCACAAGGGTCAAGGAGGAAAACGACGCGAGTTTGGTCAAATTTGATGGCGGCTCGAGCGAGCCGAGAAAACGATCAATCACGCGCTGTACTGCTGTGAAGTATATGACACATGATCAGCAACTACAGCAACAGCAACAAGTTAAACAATTGACAATTAACATCAGCGACAACTCGTGGCTTGAGTCGAAACCACGACAAGTCGGCGCAGTACTCTGTAAGTGTATTATATGATGTGGTACATAACAACAATAACAACAATAACAACAACAACAACGACACACCTGAAAGAGCCGACTACCACCACCACCATCCAAAACAGCGCCGTCCCCAACCCCCTCGACCGACAACGTGGTCGAGTTCCCCACCAACACCGGTTCCGACAGGGTCAGCGCCCCCTGCCAGGACACCACGAACGCCCCATTGGAGCAGTTGGTGTTTTCCACCAGGGTCGCCAGCTGCGCAGCGGTGGACACGTTCATCTTCGCAGATGCTGGGGAGCAGGCGGGCGGCGCTGCCTGCTGCGCGAAGGACAACGGCAAACGGCCGGCGAAGACCGCTAAGGACAGCAGCAGCAGCAGCGCCGATGTCGTCGTCGTCGTCGTCGTTGCCGTCCCCAGCGTACTCGCTGCACCTCTGCTGCTGCTGTTGATGCTGCTGTTGCCGTCGCTACTGCCGCTGATGCTGCTACTGCAGCTTGAGGGTGGTGATCGAGGTCGCACCCTTTGTCGCCTGGTTGTGCTCCTGCCGCATCTACTCGGAGCGGCTTCGGTGGTACCCGCAAACATGCTCCTGGCCGACATTGTCTCGATCGAGTGTCTACAAGCAGAGTGGACGAGCAGGCGGGGGGATTCTTACAAGCTTCTTTTGGGATGGTAGGGGAAATGTAGACGCAGATATTGGCCCGATAGTTTCGGCGGCGACCTCATCATCTCTCCTCGTCCCTTGAAATGACTAACCAAATCAGCAACATGATGGATAACATGTCCCGGTTGTTTTCTCCGCGCACCCCTGTTCACTTTGCCCTGCAACATTTGCAGCGTCTAAGTCTCTTCTCTCTCTCTGCAGTCCCGACATATCATCATCCACCGCCATGTTAGGGTAACTAACCTATACAGTCGTCCCCGCTTTAAAGACACAATTTTAAAGACACTCCCCGCTTTAAGGACACACATAATCTCAGAAACATGGTGCCCCGCAGATGTGACAAATTACGGGGGGGTAGGGTTTCCACCATTCGACCCCCCCCCAGAAAATGGTTTCGAGAGCAAAGCACTTTTATTGCCAACGTTCGTTGTTTGCCTTGGGTGAAGTCTCGTGAGGTTGAATTTGGCGTTTGTGTTGTTTGTGCCTCGTTTTGACCTTTTGGTAGGCGCGGTGTCCTCTTTGTCGCTGTGCTTTCCCCGACATTTTTGGTCTCTGTGTTTCTGCGTAACCTACATTTTCCTAGTGTCGTTTTACAACCTTCGATATTTCTCAGGTGCGGTAGCGAGATCTTGGGCAAGATATTCACGGGAAGGACAACGCCTAAAAAATATAATAAAGCAAACATTTAAGCCCATATCAACACCACAGCGCACTACCGTCGTGTACATGTACGATGCGTAGGTCGTAGAACACCATCGCTTTCAGCGTTATGGTGGTACAGTACGGGGAAATTCAAACGATGGAATGCAAGTATGTATTGCAGCACAATAGCAGCAGTGGTTGCGAAATTCAAATCACTTTGTGTCGTAGGTTTCAAACAACCCCTACCTCTTGTGGTCGTCTTTCTGCTGCGAATGCGCACGTTTTGACATATGTTTCGCCTTCATTGGCCCCGGGGATGGTGCGTTAGTGGCCCCGGAATTTTAAGACACTTCCCCGCGTTGAAGACACTTTTTTGGGGGGGAAAACGTGGTGTGTCTTTAAAGCGGGGTCGACTGTACGCTGTAGCATCATTGTCGTTTCAGCTCGCTTGCTCGGGTGGACCATCAGCACTTGTCAATATCTTCGTGAGGATACACAATGAGAGGCTGGAGGTTTAATAAACCCTGTCATCACGTTAGAGCGACTTACAAATCGTGAGTAGAGAAGGGAAAGGGGCTGCTGAAGGATTGACCACCTCACCATGTCGAGTCCGACGGCAAGCACAGGCGGGGGGAGGTGGGACAATTAAAAAAAAGTCCTCAAACTCGCAGCTCCTAATGGCTGGTGTACATCGTAGATTGGCGCCGGCGAAAACACGACATCAACATCCACAACTCACCGTGATCACAACCTTCGACATCCAAGGGGGAACGCTACACAAATGCCTGCCACACCGCGCTACTCCAACACCTGTGTGCCCGCCTGCATGCCTACTTTTTGTTGTGCATAGCGCACCATAGATGTGTTGCAGAAAACGGTGTTACATTCTTTTCTTTTTTGTCTTCACTTCAAATCAGCGCTCACAGCACCAGTGCCGTTTACTCCTACCCGCGGTCACACAGAAGAGCCCCTCTCTACCCTCCCCTCCTGCGGTGCTTTGCCTTCGGTTCTTAATGCGAGAAAAGTTCAGCACTCTCCTCCCTCTCCTCCTGCGGTACTTTGCCTTCGGTTTAATGCGAGAAAAGTTCGGCACTCTCTTCCCTCTGTGTGCACACGAACTAGCGCTATCCACTAGGCCAGGAGCGGAAGCGAGAGAAAAACTCACTTTGCAAGAAAAGCTCGCTTACGCCGGGATTCGAACCCCTGACCTGACCTCTACAAGAGTTCGAGGTTGCCAACTAGACCAACGGGGCGACCGGTCATGGTCGTCACAGGTCTCCGGAGGGAATCATGTAATGAGAATGTAAATGTTGAAGGGGAGGTCATTGAAATACAAAACCCAGGGAGAGTGTTACGCAACAGGCCGCGCGGCCGCGCAACAAGACTGGGGAATACGGCCGTATAGATGACGAACAAGTGCATCAAATGTGTGGGGAGTGTGCGTGGATCGTGCCGAAGAGACGAGCCAACGCGTGGCCACGGATGTGGAGGGCACAGCCGAGAGGGGGGGAGGGAGGGGAGAGAGCAGGCGAGGACTTGAAAAATAATCTGTGATCACACGACTTTTTGGAGGCTCATAAATGGATTAGCTCCAACAATACTCAGAATCATATGCATAACAGCAGCACTTCCCTCCTGCTGTACTTGGACATTAGATGGTTGTACGATAGGAGATGCGCATCGGAGACCAGGATTGAGTGATCTCAGCCAACGGCTTCAGCATCGCTGCATCTCGCATAGACTACAACATAAATCGGGGATCAACAATCAACAAAGGTCCACAGCAGCAGCAGGGCAGCACAGGTCGCTGCTCTGCCCGTGGGTGCGCGGGCCTTCAGACTACTCCTTCACAGAAAGACACGACATGGGCCCCTTAGTCGAGACGGAACGGGTAGCAGGAGCCGCCAGCCAGTGGTAGACTCCGTGTTCACCTCTCACCTTCTACACAAGTCCAGCCCCATCCTGTCGGTTTGGTTTGCGTTTGTGTGTTTCTCGGTGCACATCAGCATGACGTCATGGTGCAGTGGTGTAGCTTCTGGGGCTCAGTAAATCATTTATCCCGCCCCCAAAAAAGGCGAAATGGGATTATGCACCTGCCACACACACACGTACACCTGCGATTGCGCTGAGAGGTTAGCTTATCCTCCCGACACAGCACGGAGGGTTTCAGGATAGCAGCAGAAGGTGACAGAGAACAGCGCTGCGTGCGAGGGGAGTGTGGCATTCGATCAGTGGTTGGCCCTGCGGCGGAGTCATTTACGCCATTGCAGCGAGAGAAGGGGGGAGACCAGGCCATCATCAGCAAGCTGCGGCAGCTGAAATTTGAATAGCGGCGGCGGCCGGCCCCTTGTGCTACCCGAATGCCTCCATGTAGGTCATCGCAAAGGCTGCGAGGACACGGATCCAAGGAAGAGGCGGGGTGAGTGGCTTCGGTAGTAGAGAGAGTGCGCCACTGGTTTGGTCAATTTATCTTGCACTTTGGCAGACTCAAAAATAACAGCAGCGTAAATTGCCCCCGCGGTGCGCCGCCGCACGACGGATTGAATTTGTTCGAGCGTCGAGCGTACATCACCTACGTACATGTGGACATATGTCTATACTCGAGGCGTGTTTTCGACCACCGTCAAGTGGTGCCGGTAGTCGCAAGCACCTTCGGAGAGGAGCTGCATGCCTAGCCTCTGTGTTTCAAGCGCTTGCCGGGAAACTCCAGCAGGATTACCAGCAGATCAAAGCTGAGATGAGAGATCATCCGTCTCTCGTTCTGTGTTTCGCCGATTGGACCAGCAGGATTCGACTAGGGGATCAAACGCTCTGATTTTTATCCCTCGAGAGCATCGTCTCTGTGGCGTGTGCGTGAGAGAATAATTGGGTGTGCATCGCGAGGCTTGTGTGCAGAAATATTTCACTGTTTGCTGCAGATTCAACGCGGACTTGTGTCTCGGCACTTATACGTGCTCTCTGCAGTGCAGGTGCGTGTGTTTTATGTTTATCCAGCATTGGTTATAAGTCTACGCATGTCGAAAATGTCAGGTTGACCTTTGTGTAACCGTTGCCTCCAACGGCAGTCTCCGAAAGTGTCCACTTGTACCTATATCCAGTACCGCTTTTGCGGCCAAACCGGTGTTCACAGCTTGCCAGGGCGGTGACAGAGCAACGCCTGCTGTCTGCCACACTTGCGAAGCTCTTGCTAAGCGCCCTTGGCATATTCAAACGTCCGTTCATGTCGGTACCAAGCCTATTCCGCACCCGTCGGAGAGGGAGAAAATTCGAAAATTCCGAACTGCCTCGGAGATCGCTGATAATTATTCGGTGTGCTCCAGGGGCCTTGTTCAACATGCATTGAACCGTGAACAGCGTGAGATGAGGAGGACGCGTCACGTGTTCCCGGTGAAACTTGAAAGTAAAGACTGTTATGCAGACATGCAAATGCATACCGTAGGTTCTGGTACAATATATCACACGCCCTGGATCGATTTTCGAACCTCGATACCTCGGCAGGAACAGAAGTTACGGTGCCGAAAATGGCGGCGTTGGAACCGTCTCGTCGAGAGCCCTCCGAAAATGTGAACTTCAGTTCCGGTGTCCTCTTCGTCGCGGAGTCGGCGAGCTTTGAACATCGGTCCAGCGGGTGTGATATATTTTGCAACCTACGGTAATACACAACATGCATGCAACATGCACACTCCGCATGCATATATATGTCATAAGCAATAACAGGGGCAGCGCCACCAGCAAAAATGGCAGAATGAACCTACCCCTTGGGCACCACCCCCGCCCCGCACAAACTTGACCTTTGCAACACTGCGTACTGCGTACCATGAGATTGCACTACTGCTGCATGCATGTTGTGTTCGTCCTACAACATACTTCGAAACTTCGAAATATATTTATCCTAGGCGACGAGGTTGCACTACGCAGATTCTACCTTGCTGTCTTCTGTAATTGCTTTCTTCTACCTCTGATATTTATGTTG